TTTTTTTTTTTTTAATATGAAACTTGGTTTTGTGAAAGAAAACTATGTTTTAATAAAAAATAACCAAAATTCAATAACAAAAAAAAAAGAAATAATATGTTCGAACTTGTCAAAATGGGGTGCGGATATAATTTGTTCGACCACTGTATATGTATATGTATAAGGCTTGTTCGTTAATAAAACCATAAAAACAAAGTTTCCTAATTTGTTAAAGTGTAAAAAAATCAAAAAATTTTCATCAAAATTTCAAACGCTTAAACAGAATTTTTAATGTTTAATTGTATAGGTACCCAGTTTTATAGCCCATTCAATTTTATTACAATAAATTCCAAGTTCAAAGTAGCTCAAACTCACGTTGATTTTTAGTATTTCTTTTTTGCTGAGGGGTTCAGCTTTTTCCCCAATAAAACCAATTCCAAACTTTCTTTATATGGAAGGAAATGCTTAACACCGTCACCAAAAAAGGTTAAGGGGGCTATAAATTGCGTACCTACGAAATGAAAAATTAAAAACTCTGTTTAAACAGTTTGATATAATTTCAATAACTATTGTAAAAAAATCACTCCATGCTTAATTTTGTAAGTTACTGTATAAGACTACTTTAATCGTCACTTTGGTTTCGTTTACTTATAAGTATTTTTTTCAAATAGCGCTTTTTCGACAGATGGATCGCCCTTCGAATCTTCTCCTCAGCCTCTTCTACACCATATAACGTTGCAACGGCATCTTAAAATAAATAAATATAAGTACACATAACATTTCAAAATTTACTTTAACGAACCTTTGACGACTTTATACAGCTTGAAGTCCTTCAACCGCTTCTTTCCATGACTACCGTCCGTGTTGTACTCATAAATGAATTCCGGCTCGAAAATCAAGTCAATATTTTTCTGTAAATTACTGGAAATAATTTTTTTCACCATATTGACCTACAAAATAAAAAACAAAAAATTAATATTAAGGAACAAATGGGCCAGCGGTCAAAATAGTAGCAGCCCAATATTTCGATAATAATTTTTTAAATTTAATTTTAATTATGTTTTTATAAAAGTATAGTTCGTTCTTTAACAAAAACAATATAAATCCAGGCTTCAAACTTTGTGCACAATTTAAAAAGTTTGAAATTTTTATGAAAATTTATTGAATTGTTTTAAATTTTGCACAAAGTTTGAAATCTGGATTTCTATTGTTTTTGTTAAAGAACGAACTACACTTTTATAAAAACAATTAAAATTAAATAAAAAAAATTATTTTCGAAATTTGTACACTTGTTAAAACATTTACTAAAGTGCTTGCATAGCTTTTAGTGTTGGATTCGTCTATATTTTCATCCAATTCTTTTAGCGTGTCGTCGTCTTTTATGGGGAATGTACCCGACATGGTTGAGTTCTCTGTGTCTTGAAATAATAGCTTTTTTATAAGAACATTTTGTTAAGCCAATGCTTCCATTACAACTGTATTTTGATGAGTGGTCAAATCTGAAAAATCGAAAAAAAACTTTAGTTCTAATTTTTTCATATCA